TGGGGCCCGAGTAGATGGAGTCGAAAGATCGCGCCGCATCGCTCGCCGACGCATCGGCGACGTCGGCGATGCATCGGCGATGTCGGCGTGGGGAAACACGGGCTCCACATCGAGCCGCATCGTCGAGGCATCGGCGATGCGGCCGATCCTCCGACCCCTATCGACTCGGACCCCATCTCGGAGGCCCAGACTTGGCCCCCAAGCGCGGGGCCGAAAGGAACTTTTGGACGCCCGAAATGGGTACGGAAAGAATGGGTACAATGCCCACCAGCAACGGCTGTCCCGAGCCAACAGCGGCCGCCGTTGGGCAGGCGGCCTCTGTCTCGACTGGACACGGGCCGCGGCGGCGTGGACAGCGAGTCCTGTTGAAAATGAACAAGATCCGCTGTTGGGCATTGTGCCCGTTCCTGCCGTGCCCACTTCGCTCGTGCAGAGAAGCGAGAAGGAGGGAAGGAGGCCAGGCCGACAACTGAAAACCCGCCGCTCCGATGTTTGCTGGAGCGGCGGATCCCTGGGCCCCCGAGCGCGGGGAGGCCCTGTCGGGCGCCGGGCGCCAGCCTCCCCCACGACGTCCGGCTCCACCCGGGCGCCCCGCATCCCGCGCAGCCAGCCGGCGGCGCGCGCGGCGTGGCCGGCGCGGACGCAGCTGCCGATGAGGACGCCGAAGTGGCGGACCGTCGGGGCGGGAAGCTTCGAGCTGCTCACGACGACGACGACGACGACGACGACGACGACGAGGCAGGTCTCTTCTAATCGGATGCTCGGCCGAAAAGTTCCCTGGCCGCTCGCGGCCCGCCGGCTGCTCGACCGCGGCTTTGTTGGCGCTCGCCGTGGCTTCGGGCCTCCTCGCCGGAGGTCTGCCGGCCGCGGGGGGGCTCGACGGCAGCTGCGCCTGCTCGGGAGCGCGGCGCCGGGGGGGCAAAGAGCGTCCCAGGCGGCCGCCAGAGGCCCGAGCTGTGGCCCCCGGAGGCCGTCGGGCACGGGGGTGGCTCGAGGAGCGTGCTCGGGGTCGGAGGCTCGCGTTCCGGCCGTGCCCGACCGTCCTGGGGCCCGTCGTGGCCAAGGCCAGATCCGCCTCGAGAGTTTGGCCAGGACGCACCGCAGGAGAGGTGAGGCCCAGGGGGGGATGCTTGGTCCACGACCCTGGTCAATCGGGGTGGTGAGCGTTCTCGCATTCGGCGTTTCGACATTGGGCGGAAGGAGGGGGAAGGGGGGGGTCCTGGCTCCGGACCTTTGCTTAGCGCAGCTATTTGGAACCGTGCGTCCTTTGGGGGAGACCCCACCTGCTCGAAACAGGCGCCATAAACAGCCAAGATCTGCTCCACGAGGGGGTTGGAGGGGGCGCATGCGAGAGCCCGCGCAAGATGCAAAAAAACAGAATACAAAAACGATCACGTGGCCGACCCCTGAGATCCTCGCGTCGCAGACTACTCCAGATTTCGTAATAAAGGGAGGAGGGTCTCATTTCGGGGGGGGGTCTCTTCCAGGCTATCTTGGAGGGCCTGGGGGGTCTGGGGACGATGTTTTGGAGGGTTCTCCCACGGGGGAGGTCTGAAATGGCTTGTCTTGGAGGGTCCAGACCCCCTCCCTTTTATTACGAAATCTGGATTTTACGTCGGGCGATGCCGCTCTCTTTCCAACCCGGGGCTCCCACGGACCGGCTCGGATCCAGCAGTGCTGCACAGAAGGCGGGGCACGGTCTGGGGCTCCCGTCCAGGTGTCTGGGTAGTCGAAGCCAATCTGGCGCCAACCTGGCAGGCCCAGTCTGGCAAACGGGGGCAATCTGGCGAGGGAGCCAACGCGAATCCAGCCTGGCGAATAACCCAAATCCTCCAATTCGGCCAGGCCAGATTGGCCCTTGGGGCCCAGTCCAGTCTGCCAGTCTGGCCTTCGACTACCCAGGATGTCTCACAACGTTCAAATTTGTTCGCGACGTCGAATCTCGGGGGCTTGCGGGGAGCAGGTCAGGTTAGGACATACCCGAAGGGAAAAGCTCGCAAGTGCGAGGTTTTGGTTCGGGTGGGATGACACAAACACAAGGGAAACTGTTTGCTGGCGTCGGAGTAGACGGGGTAGGAGGATCGCGCCGCATCGTCGATGCATTACCGATGCATCGTAGATGCATCAACGATGCATCGGCGACGTCGGCGATGCATCGGCGACATCGGAGTGGAGGAAGTCGGGCTCCACATCGAGCCGCAACGCCGATGCATCGGCGATGCGGCGCGATCCTCCGACCCCATCTGGGAGGCTAAAGGGGGAAGGAGGGCTAGGAGGATACCGAGGGATAACGAGGAGTGGGGAGGGGAAAGCGAGGAGGAAGGGCGGAGGAAGGAGGCCGCAGACGCGGCAGACCGTTGGGGCGAGGCTGGCGTTCAGCATGGACTCGTACCACGCCTCCGCCTGGAGCGTGTTGCTGCCCCGGGCGAAGGCGCTCATCACGCCCTTGTAGCATCGAGGAGCAAAACATGGTGCAGGCATCACCGCTCGGAGCCAGGCGCGGACTCGGCGGAGCGGCGCTGGACTCCCCTCCCACGAGGCGCGCGGAGCGCGACAGAGGGCGGCGCCGGAGGCGCCGATCCGAGGGGGGCTCCCGCGCGCGCCGCTCCGAGAAGTGCTCGGGGACCTCCGACAATGTATGTCTGGGCCACGGTTTGCTCTCCGATCGGAGTCTGCGTCGGGGTCCAGCATGACGAGGCGCATCTCCCCGAAGCAGTCCAGCGCCTTCAGAGGCCTCCCAGATGGGGTCGGGGTAGATGGAGTCGGCGGATCGCGCCGCATCGACGATACATCGGCGATGCATCGGCGATGCATCGGCGATGCATCGGCGATACGCCGCCGATGCATCGGCGACGTCGCAGTGGAAAACACGGGATCCGCATCGAGCTGAATCGGCGATGCCTCGGCGATGCGGCGCGATCCTCCGACCCCACCTGCTCCGACCCCGTCGGAGAGGCCTCGAGCCTTGGCCCAGTCGCTCGCAGTGGCGCAGCCGGCGACGAGCGCGTTGTACGCCATGGCTCGGCAGGTGCGCCGAGGGCGGAGGGCCGGGGGGGCTCCGACGGGGGCCTCCGAAGGGGCCCGGCCCGAGCTTTCCTGCGGGCCTCTCGGCGGAGAGGCTCCGGGAGGGAGGCCCCTCCTGACGAGTGAGCCACACACACACCAACCCACACACACACACCAACTCACACACACACACACACCAACCCACACACACACACAGACGCACGAACCCACACACACACACACACCAACCCACACACACACACCAACCCACACACACACACACGCACCAACCCACACACACACACACGCACACCAACCCAAACACACACACACACAGACGCACCAACCTACACACACCACAACAACAACAACAACAACAACAACAACAACAACAACCACAGCCACAACCCTAACAACAACAACAATAACAACAACAACAACAACAACAACAACAACAACAACAACAGCAGCAGCAGCAACAACAACAACAACAACAACAACAACAACAACAACAATACCAAGAACAACAACAACAACAATAATGTTAAGACTGTTCGCCCTTTATATGCTCGAGTGTCCAATAACGCGTATTTCCCAAACCCTCGATACCCGCCCTCTTCGTCTTCGATCGAACCCCTTTTGGGGGGTATACCTTTCTTCCCTGCAGGCCGGGCCCCGGCAAGCGGCGGGGCGGCCGCGGACCGTCGGCCTGGCCAGCGGCAGCGCTGATCGGCGGGGCGGCCGCGGACCGTCGACCCGACCCCAAGAGGGACGGACAGGGGACCGACGACGACGACGACGACGACGACGACGACGACGACGACGTCGAAGACGACGGCGACGACGACGACGACGGCGACGACGAGCGAAAGCGAGAGCGAGAGAGAACGACAGCAGGGCCACGAAGGGCACGAAGTAGGCCACGAAGGGCGACAGCGGGGACACGAAGGGAATGCGTATGGGGCCACGAAGAGCGCGAACGAGCGGGGGCCACGAAGTGCAGATAATGCGGGGCCACAGAAGGCAACTATGGGGCCACTAAGGGTAGCAACTGGGCGACGTAGGACAGTGAGGGGGGCACAAATGGCGACAGCGGGGCCACGAAGGGCATGCACATGGGGCCACAACGGGCGCGACTCCTGGGTGCCTGGGTGTCGGGAGCGCGGCGCTTGGGCAAATTGCAGGAAATTCCAACGCAAGGCCATTCTTCAGTAAGTTGCAAGCAAGTCTCCAGCGAGAGCGCGACTCCAGAGCGCCGGGAGAGCGATTCCTGAATAAATTGTAAGGAAGTCCCAGCGAGAGCGCGATTCCTAAATAAAATGCGAGGAAGTCTCGGGCGGGAGCGGGGGTCCTGGCTAAATTGTAAGGAAGTCTCAGGCGGGAGCCGTTAATGTTGTAACCCGGGGGCCAGGGGCCCAGTTTGAGCAGGAAGACTTTCCCTGTCAAAAACAGGGTGCGAGCGTCGAGGGGCACACTTTGATTGAGAAAAAACAGGATGCACCGGTGGGGGGATCAACAATAATTATTCTTCAGAAATGAGAATTCAACAACAACAACAACAACAACAACAACAACAACAACAATTACTAGCACGTGGGGACACTCCGTTCTCACCAGTGCCAGGGTTTTCATAGGAGGCGGGCAATACCCCCACTTTGTGGGGGGGCCGGTTCAAGCTCTACCAAATTTCCAAACGACTCTTCGCCACCACCCACACCCAGCTTCCCGCCCTATGACGTTCGGACACTTCACTTCGTGGCATGCGGACGACCGTGGCTACTATTCAGGGCCCCGCGGCCGACGACGACGGCGTGCGCGCGCGAAGAAAAAACGAATGTGTCCCGCATGGTATTATTTGACAGGGATGATGGCCCTGGCAGGTGCGCAACCGTTGTCGCAGAAGTTCGAAAAAGTTGCTCGCAAAAGCCCGTTTGACAGAAATGTTTAAAAAGTGTTGGGTTTCCTACGAATCCGCAAGAGCGCGCGGGATGAGATTTTGACATTTTTTTGTTGAAAAACCATTGGTTTTTTGATGTTTTTATGTTAAAATCGCTCCGAACACTAAGCTTTTGGAAGGATTTCGTCTTGCGCGCGCGAATGTCCACTTTACCTTATTTTTTGCAAGGGATTCTTGAAATTTGATTATATTAGAACAAGAAATGTCATTTTCTATTGTTTTTTGCAAGGGAAAGCGGATTACAACAAAACAACCGGATCCTGTACACACCCTCTTTTCTGAGGCTTCCTCACGAAAATGATGAAAATGTAGCTGCGGCCTAGGCGGCGCAGGGGGGGCGCGCACCAGGGGGCCCAACAATAATTATTCTTTAGAATAAATAATGTTCAACAACAACAACAACAACAACAACAACAACAACACAACAACAACAACAACAACAACAATCATTTTACCCGAACGCGTGGTGTTCTCCCCAGTGCCAGGGTTTTCATACGACACCAGGCAATACCCCCACTTCGTGGGGGGGCATTACAAGCTCTACCAAATATCCAAACGACTCTTCGCGACCACCCAAACCCAGCTTCCCGCCCTATGACGTTGGGACACTTCACTTCGTGGCGTGCGGACGACCGTGGCTACTACACTGGCGTGGGGTACACACCCACAGAACTTGGTCACTTATTCGGGGCGCGCATGTGCCCAGCATGGTGCAATTGTGCCATACAATACATAATACAGAGAGACGAATGTGTCCCGCATGGTATTATTTGACAGGGATGATGGCCCTGGCAGGTGCGCAACCGTTGTCGCAGAAGTTCGAAAAAGTTGCTCGCAAAAGCCCGTTTGACAAAATGTTTAAAAAGTGTTGGGTTTCCTACGAATCCGCAAGAGCGCGCGGGATGAGATTTTGACATTTTTTTGTTGAAAAACCATTGGTTTTTTGATGTTTTTATGTTGAAATCGTTCCGAACACTAAGCTTTTGGAAGGATTTCGTCTTGCGCGCGCGAATGTCCACTTTAACTTATTTTTTGCAAGGGATTCTTGAAATTTGATTATATTTGAACAAGAAATTTCATTTTATAGTGTTTTTTGCAAGGGAAAACGGATTACAACAAAACAACCGGATCTTGATCAACTCGAATTACCTGAGGCTTCCTCACGAAAATGATGAAAACGTGGCTGCGGCCTAGGCGCGGCGGGGGGGGCGCGCACCAGGGGGCCCAACAATAATTATTCTTTAGAATTAATAATGTTCAACACCAACACCAACACCAGCACCAACACCAACAACAACCCACACACACACACACACACTCACACATCAATGCCCACACACACACACACAAGCCCCCACACCCACACACCAACCCACACACACACACACACCAACCCACACACACACACACACACACACTCCAGCCCACTTACACACACCAACCCACACAAACACCAAACCACACACACACACACACACAACAACCCACACACACACATACATACACACACACAAACACACACACACACAAATCCACACACACACACACCAACCAACATACTCACATCCCACACACACACCAAACACCACACACACACACCAACCCCACACACACACACACACACACACACACACACACACACACACACACACAACGCCACAAACACACACACACAAACACACACGAACACACACACACACACACACACCAACCCCCCCACACACACACACACACCACACAAAACACACACACACACACACACACACACACACACACCAACCCACTCACTTACACACACACACACCACAAACAACAACACACCACACACCACACACCACGCACCACACACCACACACCACACACCACACACCACACACCCACACACCCACACACACAAACACACACGCACACCACACACCTACCACACACCCCACACACACACACACACCCAGCCACCCACACCCACACAACACCCACACACACACACACACCACACACCACACACACACCCACACAGCCACACACCCAGCACACACACCCACACACCCACACACCCACACACCCACACACCCACACACCCACACACCCACACACCCACACACCCACACACCCACACACCCACACACACCCACACACCCACACACACACCCATACACCCACACACACCCACACACCCACATGCACACACACTCTCTCTCTCTCTCTTTGCGTCGGCGGATGAATCAGGCCAAAGCGGGGATGCCGTTGGAACGAATAGTGCCACAATGCAGGAGGAGGAGCGGGGGGAGGGCGCGGCCGAAGCGGCGGCTGCAACAACACACACACACGCACCCATACGCACAGGAGGGTCAGAGGGAGGAGGACTGGCATCATGGGCATGGGTGCGGGTCGCCGGGCCCTGGGGGCGGCTCCGGCTCCCATTCGAGTGGGGAACCCCATCCGACAACGCGCACCCATACTCCCCTCCGTGCCCCCCCCCCCCCCCTAGGGGAAGGAAGGAGGAGGAGGAGGAGGAGGAGGGAGGAGGAAGGAGGAGGAGGAGAGGAGGGAGGAGGAGGAGGGGGAGGTGGAGGGATGGGGAGGAGGAGGAGGGAGGGGAGGAGCAGGAGGAGGAGGGGGAAGGGAGGGATGGAGTGCATGGCATGGGCGTGTGCGTGGCTCGCTCGTCGCCTCCGCCGAGCGGCGGGGCCCCGAAGGCCTCCCCGCGCCGCGGGGGAGGCCCCCATCGGGGAGGCGCCGCAGAGAGGGCCTCCCCGGGGCCCCCTCCGAGAGGCTCGCCGCTGGGCCAGGAGGCCCTCTGCTCGACTCGCCAGCGGCCCGTCGGGACGCTCCCACGGCACCCCAATTTCGTCCTCTTCGTCCTCCTTCTCCTCCTCCTTCTCCTCCTCCTTCTCCTCCTCCGCCTCCTCCGCCTCCTCCTCTTCTTCTTCTTCCTCCTCCTCCTCCTCCTCCTCCTCCTCTTCCTCCTCCTCCTGGGTACTCCAGATTTCGTAACAAAGGGAGGGGGGTCTCATTTCGGGGGGGGTCTCTTCCAGGCCATCCTGGAGGGCCTGGGTGAGTCAGGGGACGATGTTTTGGAGGGTTCTCCCACGGGGGGGGGTCTAAAACTCCTCGTCTGGGAGGGTTGAGACCCCCTCCCTTTTATTACGAAATCTGGAGTATTTAGTCGAAGCCAATCTGGCGCCAATCTGGCAGGCCCAGTCTGGCAAACACGGGGGCCATCTGGCGAGGGAGCCCACGCGAACTCCAGCCTGGCGAGAATTATCCCAGTGCGACCCTACCTAGGAGTTGGAACCCCTAGGATAGCAGCATTAGTAGTAACAGTAACGCTAAGCTAAAGCTAAGCTAAAGCTAAGCTAAAGCTAAGCCACAGCTAAGCTAAAGTTAAGTTAAAGCTAAGCTAAAGCTAAGCTAAAGCTAAGCTAAAGCTAAGCTAAATCTAAGCTAAATCTAAGCTAACGCTAAGCTAAAGCTAAGCTACAGCTAAGCTAAAGCTAAGCTAAAGCTAAGCTAAAGCTAAGCGCTCAGCGAAAAGCTAAGCGAAACGCTAAGCTGAAGCTAAGCTACAGCTAAGCTAAAGCTAAGCTAAAGCTAAAGCTAAAGCTAAAGCTAAAGCTCCCAGGGGACTGGGGGGAACCGCTCCCAGGGGACTGGGGGAACCGCCCGGGGCGTGTTCCACTGCCCGGCCCCTTTAAGCTAAGAGAGTAAGAACCCTTCTAGACAGAGCCTAGGTAGGGAATGACCCCAAAACCCTCCACTTTGGCCGGGCCAGATGGGCCCTGGGGGCCCAGACCAATCTGCCGGTCTGGCCTTCGACTGCCCAGGGAGTGCTCCCGATGAATTGTGTCTGTGTGTGTTTCTGGGGAATCGACGATTCTGAAGGGGCCCCAGGACACACAAATAAATACACACAAATAAAAATACTCCCCATATTTTCTCATATTTTCTGGGTTTCTGTCTTCCCCCCCACTTCCCATATTTTCCCATATTTCTGGGGAATCGAAGATTAATTGTGTCTGTGTGTTTTTTCCTCTCCTGAGATTCATTGTGCCGGTGTGTCTCTTCCCCTCCTGATCTCCAGCGGCCCGCCGGGACGATCCCCGGGCACCCCAGGGAGCGCTCCCGGCGCGGCGCGCAGCCGCCGGCACGCCTCCCGGGGCCAGCAGGCCGCGGGGAAGCGACGAGGATGCCCGAGGCCCTCGCCCCTCGCTCCTCCTCCCTCCTCCTCCTCCTCCTCCTCCTCCTCCTCCTCCTCCGCCTCCTCCTCCCTCCTCCTCCTCCTCTCCTCCTCCTCCTCCTCCTCCTCCTCCTCCTCCTCCTCCTCTCCTCCCTCACTCCTCCTCCTCCTCCTCCTCCTCTCCTCCTCCTCCTCCTCCTCTCCTCCTCCTCCTCCTCCTCCTCCTCCCTCCTCCTCCTCCTCCTCCTCCTCCTCCTCCTCCTCCTCCTCCTCCTCCCCTCCTCCTCCTCCTCCTCCTCCTCTCCTCCTCCTCCTCCTCCTCCTCCTCCTCCTCCTCCTCCTCCTCCTCCTCCCTCCTCCTCCTCCTCCTCTCCTCCTCCTCCTCCTCCTCCTCCTCCTCCTCCTCCTCCTCCTCCTCCTCCTCCTCCTCCTCCTCCTCCTCCTCCTCCTCCTCCTCCTCCTCCTCCTCTCCTCCTCCTCCTCCTCCTCCTCCTCCTCCTCCTCCTCCTCCTCCTCCCTCCTCCTCCTCCTCCTCCTCCTCCCTCCTCCCTCCTCCCTCCTCCCTCCTCCCTCCTCCCTCCTCCCTCCTCCCTCCTCCCTCCTCCCTCCTCCCTCCTCCTCCTCCTCCTGCTTTTCCTCTTCCTCCTCCTCCTCCCTCTCTCCTCCTCCCCGAGGATGCCCGAGGCCCTCGCCCCTCGGCGCGCCGCCGCATGGCGCCGGGCCGGATCTCCGCGATGACCATGCGCTGGAGCCAGCCCGTGGCGGCCGCGAGGTCGCCCCGGGCGGCGAGCGCCTCGAGGATCCACCGGAAGGCCTCCCTGTTCGGCGTGAGCCTCGCCGAGAGCATGCCCGCCAGCCACCTCGCTACGAGCGGAGGGCTGGACACTCGAAGTGGGTACTCCAGATTTCGTAATAAGAGGGAGGGGGTCTGGACCCTCCAAGACAACAAGACAAGCCATTTCAGACCTCCCCCGTGGGAGAACCCTCCAAAACATCGTTCCCAGACCCCCCAGGCCCTCCAAGATAGCCTGGAAGAGACCCCCCCCCCGACATGAAACCCCCCTCCCTTTATTACGAAATCTAGAGTACGTAGGTTCGTGTCGTGCCGACTTCGGCGTCAGGTCCTGACGTACCAAAACAGGTGGAGCGGCGAGCTTGGTTTGTTTTCGGCCTCTGGGGACCCTCGCCGGGTCTCGGGAGAGTCAAGAACTTGGCGGCGCGAGCAAGGGGTTAAGGGGAGGCGGGGGGGGGTCCTAGAAAGAGGCTGCTTCTTAGAAGGCGCCGGCCTTACATCTTGAGACAAGGCCCGCAACTTCTAAGAAGAAGGGGTGCTCATAAGAAGCCTCCCCCTCTCCCCCGACCCCCCTTTTCTGCACGTGGCCGACGCAACGACTCAGGACGAAACGCCAGCCCCGAAGCATGGTCGAGACCTCCGGGGCCAACGCACCGAACAAGCTGGAGCGGCCAGATGCCTGGGCAGCGGGGGTCGACCAACCTCGTTTATCGGAAACCTCCGAGACGTCAGATCTTTCCGAAGGGGCCCTGGGACACACAAGTAAATACACACAAATAAAAGGATTCCCATAGTATTTTACCATATTTCCTGGGTTTGTGTCTTCCCCCCACTTCCCCTATTTTCCCATATTTTCCTGGGAGACGACGATTCTTTGTGTCTGTGTGTTTTTCTCCCTCCTGACTTTCAACATCGACCGATCCTGTGGGCCCCCGCCAGCACTCAACGCCAAACGCCAGCGCTACGATCGCTGCCGGTCAACACGACGCGAAACTGCCGCGCGGAAAATGTCCAGGACAAGCAGCAGCCGCTGCTGAGCACGCGGCCTTCTGTTCCAGATTGACAGCGTCCGCGGAGACACCGGCCCAGACACCCAGCCGCTCGAATGTGTTCGATGCGTGGGCCCAGGAGGTCTGGCTCAGGATGAACCAGCGCTGCTGTCGGTCTTCGCGCACCTCCTTTTCCGTGCCCATCTCGATCGTGCCGAGAATCGGCGGCGAGCGACGGGGGAAGTGAGAAGGAGAAGGCCTTTTCAAGAGGGCGGCTGGATGTTTCAAGAACACTTGCGTCTTCTGAGTAGTTGTTCCCTGTTTCCAGGGAAGACTTAGGAAACTTCTCAGAATGCTGGGGGACTTCCGAACCTTCTGAGAAGGCCCGCCCCTTCTCACTACCCTCCCACTCGCTCGCCGCCGAGATCCCGGAGACCCCAGGCATCCCCCAAGGCCACTTTCCAGGATTTCCGGCGGCCTGCTTCGTCATTCTGGGCAATTGCCCTCGGTTTCTGAAACGAAGAACTGCTCCGACGGAAGGACCCACATGAGAATATTCTGGGCGAATCTGGAAAAAGCCTTCACCGTCGTCCGCGTGGTTGGTGAGGCGTCCTGGCTGTCTCTTCTGCGTATATTTTTTGTCGCCCTGGCGCGGGCCCTCCCCCCGTTCCCGACGTTGACCCCCGACCTCGCCCTCCTGTTTTGGCTCCGGACATTCAGATAGTGGCCCGGGAGTGGTGTTCTGGGAACACGAAGAGCACGAAATGGCCTACAGTTGGCTCCGGGCATTCAAAATGTGGCCCAGGAGTGGTGTTCTGGGAGCACGAAGAACACGAAGTGGCCTACAGTTGGCTCCGGGCATTCAAAACGTGGCCTGGGAATGGCGCTCTGGAGCGCGAGGAGCCCAAAAATGGCGACAGCTGTACGACTTGGATGACCCTCCCGCTTGAAACTTCCTCGCAATTCACTCACAAATGTGGCCTCGGAATGGCGTTCTGGCAGCGCGAGAGCCCAGAAATGGCGACAGATATAGGAATTGGATGACCCGCTCGGATTAATAACATGATCCGCGGGCCCCATAGGGAGGGGGTTCCCGCTTGAGACTTCCTCGCAATTCACTCACACACGAGGCCCAAGGCGAGTGAGTGAGTGAGTGAGTGAGTGAGTGACTGAGTGACTGACTGGTGATGACGATGATCATCACACTCTCTCACGCGCACACGCATCATCATATGTGAGTTCATGAGCGTGTGAGTGAGTGAGTGTTAATGAGTCAGTGAGTGAGTGAGTGGGTGAGCGAGTGAGTGAGCTAGTGAGTGAGTGAGTGAACGCACGAAGACAGAAGAAGAGAGGGGGTGAAGTGAGAAGGTTCCTGCGCGGGGTGTCCAGAGAAAGCAAAAACCCCACTTTGGATGCGGGGAACAGAACCGCATGCCATCGTTCGGACGCCAATTCCCCGTGCATTCATTATTCGGTTTCGAGCGCGTATGTTGTCGCAAGATGGCCCCACGCGTTCCCTGGTGGTCCTCGCCGAGAACGAATTCACACGCCCGAGCGATGCCAAGAAGAAAAAACTTCACATACGCAAACTCTCAACGGTCCTCGCGGATCCAACGAATCCGCGCGGAGCCCCGAATATATGCGTTTCTGCTGTCGTCTGTTCTTCGAGTTTTCGGCCTAGACTCTTTGGGGCCCGTGTCGTTGGGCGCCGGGGCCATTCAAAAGGGGTCGGGGGCGAAAGCCTGGCTCGGGGGAAAGGGGTCGGGATCTGGCTCATGGACGAAAGCCTGGCCCAGCAGCAGCGGCCTGGTCAAACCGACAGGTCGGCCCGTGCACGGGCGGGGCGCGATTTGGAAAATCAAACGCAGCGCGACCTGCAAACGCGATGCGCAGGACGCGCAAGACGAGCGAACAAGCTTCGCGCCACTGCACAGCGGGGGGGGGAAGGGGAAGAGGATGGGAGGGACGGGGGGGGAGGGAGAAAAGTGTCGCGCCCTTACTTCCGCAAGCAGTGCTCCACGAACGCGTCCTCGTCCTCTTTTGAAAGCGCTAGCACTCCAGTGCGATGTTGCGCTCAAAAGATCACGCGTTAAAGATGCCAAACGGTCGTCCCACGTAGTTGGCGGACTGCCTCGCGCCGTCGAGGTGCCATGCGTGCTCGCAGGTCTCCATCCGATAACTGCGTGAACCCAATCAGCTTTTGAATCGACTGACTTCCGAGCAAGTTTAAACAAGCGGCGGCGAAACACAGCACTTCAAGTCTCAACTGGAAAATGCACCAAGGCATGTTTGACTCTGTCCCTCATGCGTCACACAGCGTCGGTTCACTCTTATCCGTCGACTCTTCTCCATCCAACAATCAAGCGGAGCATGTTGCCTTGAATGACGTCTATAGAACCCAGTTGTTGTTTTGACAGAGGCAAACATGCCAGCACAAAGAAAAAGTCGGCGGCACCACATATTGAATCAGCTTGAATTTTAGGCGAACTGATAAAGTTGGGTCTGTGAACCCGTGGTCATGTTCGTGAAATGGTTGCCAAGCTCGTCGGTTTCGTTGTCTCAGTTCATGTGTGATGCGGCCTTCAAATTCGCTAGCAACGTCTTCCCTGGATAGTTGCGCGTGTCCGTGCCGCTCACGACCTTAATCCTGTTGTGTTTGGCCTCGGTAAACGTGGCTCCGGTCGTCTCCTCTGAAGTGAGAATCTTCGTCTCGCCTGGGCTCAGGTGCAAGCCAACGGCTGCCAACTCCTTCATTAGCACTTCTAGCATGTTCGCCAGCTCGTCTGCTGACTGCGCGTACAACATAATGTCATCTGCGTGTCGAACATCCGCGAGCAACCTGCCATTCCCCAGGGGGACACAAGCATCCACGACCCATTGTTTCCAACTGGCCATCGCCATTTCTTATCCAGCATTGAACAACATTGAGCTGATGACGTCTCCCTGTTTGACCCCACGTTGTTTTGGGAATGGTTGCGTCCCGGCTGCGTAAACCGTCTGATTGGAGTACAACGACGCCAGCAGGGCGACGTGGTCTGCATACACACCTCTGCTACGGAGGGCTCGGAACAAGGAAGCAGATTCGATCCGGTCAAATGCCTTGCGTAAGTCGAGATTTGCGCACCAAAGCGGCACGCTCCATTTGAAGCCTGGCTCAGGCGCAGGGCAAGTTGGCTCGAAGGGCCCCTAGGGGGCGAGAAGCGTAGCCTAGTTTTCATATCGCTTGAAATTAAATCAAAAATAAGGGGCCCCGCACTGAAAAATTCAACTCGCCGGATGGGGCTCTCAGCCATGACAGCCTGGAGGATCGATCTCTTCGGGGGCCTGGGCAGGCTGTGGGCATGAATGCGTTTTGCCCCCGCGCCCCCCGGGGGGCTCGACAAATATCCACATCCACCGCCTGCCGATGTCCGCGAAGATCACCCCCACCCGAGCTCGAGTATGGGATCGACCACAGAATTGATGTACCCCAAAATTGATCCCCCCCCGGGGGCTCGACAAATATCCACATCCACCGCCTGCCGATGTCCGCGAAGATCGACCCCCCGAGCTCGAGTATGGGATCGACCACAGAATTGATGTACCCCAAAATTGATCCCTCCCCGGGGGCTCGACAAATATCCACATCCACCGCCTGCTGATGTCCGCGAAGATCGACCCCCCGAGCTCAAGTAAGGGCATCGACCACAGGGCTGATGCACCCAAAATGGATCTGCTCGCCGAATCCACGAGCTGTGGGCGGAATGATCGTAGATCTACGAGCAAGATCTCCTTTGTGGCACAGCCGACGAGAAAATCAATTCTGGGGTACATCAAGTCTGTGGCTAGGTCGGGCATGTCACCCTACAGGCGGATGTTGGGAGAATAGTTTTTAGACATAGTCAAACTGCACCCAAGAATATCAAAAAATCATCCAAACAATCGTCCCCTGACTATTTGTTGACTAGTTTTGAATGTTCCTCCTGTGGAGGGGCACGCCCAACGTTAAGTCCGTGGACTCCCTACTCGATAGGCGGCGGTTGCGGACAGCAGGCCCCCGCCTTGGAACCCCTGCTGTGAGGCAGGGCTCCGGGAGGCT